CAGTACAAAACACTAAGATAAGCATTAAGAGAAGACTAAGAGGAACTCAAACTGCTAATTCAACAGACACTAAGCTTGGACCATTGTAAAGGCTGGTGTAATTCCTGCTGTCTTCTGACATCACACATCCAGTCCACTAGATAAACTATACCAAACATATACATCAGGAAGAATAATTAAAGGACAAAGAGTAAGGAGAAGGAGACGTGCTGTAGCTATGGTGATCTGAAAGAGCCTGTCGGATAACATTTGGGATTTGAATGAAGGAAGTGGAGGATATAAACTACCCAGGGGAAATACAGTTCATGAAGATAAGACTGGCAGGAATAAAGACTAAGAAGTGTTATGTATGTTCCTTGTATCCCTACTCTCTTCCCTTTATCATGACGGGATGTTGTATTTTGTTAAAATCCTTTTTTGGCATCTAATGAAATGATCATGTGGTTTTTATTTTTCAGTTTGTTTATATGGTGGATTATGTTGACAGATTTTCATATGTTGAACCTTCCCTGCATCTCTGTGATGAAGCTGACTTGATCATGGTGGATGATGGTTCTGATGTGTTCTTGGATTCAGTTTGCCAGTATTTTATTTAATATTTTTGCATCAATGTTCATGAGAGAGATTGGTCTATAATTTTCTTAGTAATGTCTTTCTGTGGTTTGGGTATCAGGGTCATTGTAGCCTTATAAAAAGAGTTTGACAACGTTCCTTCTGTTTCTATTGTGTGGAATAATTTGAGGAATATTGGTATTTATTCTTTAAAAATCTTGTAGAATTCTGAGCTGAAACCATCTAATCCTGGGTTGTTTTCTTTTAATTTTTATTTTTTTGGTTGGGAGACTTTTGATGACTGTTTCTATTTAATTTGCTTATTTGGTCTTGATTTAATTTTGGTAAGTGATATTTATCCAGAAAGTTGTTCATTACCTTTAAGTTTTCCAATTTTGTGGAGTACAGATTTTCAAAATATGACCTGATGATTCTCTGTATTTCCTCCTGCATTGCTGTTGGGAGTGCAAGCTGGTACAGCCCCGTTGGATGTTAGTGTGGCAATTTCTCAGAAAATTAAGAAACAACCTTCTTCAAGATCCAGTAATACCACTTTTGGATATATATCCAAAGGCTGCTCAATCGTGCCACAAGAATATGTGCTCAACTATGTTCATAGCAGCTCTGTTTGTCATAGCCAGAACCTGGAAGCAACCTAAATGTCCCTCCACCAAAGAATGGATAAGGAAAATGTGGTACATTTACACAATGGAGTACTACACAGAAGAAAAATAATAATGAAAGCTTGAAATTTGCAGGCAAATGGATGGAGCTAGAAAAACATTATTTGGAGTGAGGTAACCCAAATACAGAAAGACAATTATCACATGTACTCACTCATAAGTGGTTTTAAAACATAGGCCAAAGAAAACCAGCCAAGAAATCGTAATCCCAGAAAGCCTAGACAACAATGAGGACCCTAAGAGAGACATACATAGATCTACTCTACATGGGAAGTAGAAAAAGACAAGATCTCCTGAGTAAATTGGGAGCATGGGGACCTTAGGAGAGGGTGGAAGGGGAGGGGAGAGGCAGGGAGGAGAGCAGAGAAAAATGTAGAGCTCAATAAAAATTAAAAAAAAAATGAAGTGTCTGGGGTCTGAAGTATTTAAGGCTTCATAATCTAGAAAGGTTTGGATTTTATTTTGAATTAGATTCATTTGGGGTTATGTTTGGTAGACATCTTAAAAAGATTTCTGTAAGCATGCCAGGGGACAAGAAGGGAAGCAGACACGATGTTGAGTGCTATAAAGCTGAGTTTTACAGGCTTTTCTACTAGGAGGCTGGAAGACAGCAGTGCTGAGAGGAATGCAGACAGTAGAGGTGCCAGCTCATGAGGCTTTAGAGAAGAAAAAGGGTTCTATTAGTAACCAGACTAGAGGCCACTCATGTGTGATTTTGGCAAAAAATTTTGCATGCAGGCGAAATTAAAAAGCGCTGTCCTGGGGAATGGAGAAATGACTCGGTGGTTCGGAGCACCAGCAGCTCTTGCAGAGGACTCAGGTTTGGTTCCCAGCACCCACACAGTGGATCACATCATCTATAACCCCAGCTTCAGTGTATATGATGACCTCTCCCAGCCTCCTCAGGCACCAGGGATGCACATGGCTCTCTCTCTCTCTCTCTCTCTCTCTCTCTCTCTCTCTCCTTCCTCCTCTCTCTCTCTCTCTCTCTCTCTCTCTCTCTCTCACACACACACATACACACACACACACACACACACACACACACACACACACACACACAGGCAAAACATTCATACACCTAAAAGTAATGTACTCAGTTCTTTCCTAGAGAAGCTCTTGCTCTTTACTGGAAAGACAGGAAAGGGTACCCTTGGGGCAAGACCTCACTCAGGTAATTTGTGAAAGGATGTGTAGAGATTGAAGCAGGTATGTTGGTTTCTGACAGAAGCATGTAGAAAGGTTTCAATTTCTTTAAATCAAGAGAGGAGAGGAAGTAGTGAAAGTCTGAAGAGAGATAGTGGAAAACAGTTATATAACTAAATTGCACGGCCAATCTAGGTAAAACAGTTATTACTAAGGACTCATTTCCTTAAACAAAAATCCACTTAATGATAAAGATGGAGGAAACTTTAGTTTAGTTAGATCAGTTATTTTAGAGTGAACAAAAATTAAGACATAAATTCCTTTTATAATTGATAGATTTGAGAAGAGGAAAAATGCGTGGAAATAATGAATTTGTTTAAAAGACCAAGTGAAAAAATAATACTAAGAATGTCACTTGTGTGTTGGAATCCTCCCACCGAGTAATATGTTAGGTACATTGTCCATTGTTCCTTCAGTAGTGACAATTTGCTCTATAAAACCACACAAATATATGTGAACCCTCCACTATATAGAAGAGGCTCAAAAGCCTACTTGCTGTCCTCAGAGTAGCACAGTTCTTTCTATGAATGGGCAAACAGGAGGCTGTTACTGCAGTTTTCTGAGTTGGTCTTATTTTAAAAGACTCTTGGTGAAACTGCCGACAATCACATCTACTCCAGCGCTATACTGAATGTGTACTGCTTTGTATCTAGTAGATTTCCAGTATATTTATTGACTCCAACACTAAAGCCTAATAAGGAGGCTCCTGCGGGCCCAGTGCTGACAGGTAGCAGACACTGTGAAAGGAGAACTGAGTGGATAAAAAAGGAAGGAACGAACACAGGCAGGAACTGAGCTGTTGATGGCATAAATGGACTCAACGCTGACAGATACTCAAGCCCTGGCGAATGCAATGGGAAATTTCTAAGAAAACATTGCATGCACAGATGAACAATAAGGGCTCACACACCAGGGCAAGGGAGAGGAAGCAAAAAGAAGGGGTCAGAATTAGCCAGCAATTTAAGATTCTCAAATAACCGGGAGGAGTGTAAGAGTAAAGCTTTTACTGCTTCACTTAGTGCCAGTCTTTAATCCCCTCCTGACCCACTTTTACTCAGCCCTCCAGAGGGGCATTGTTTGTCTGCTGAAGTATTAGCTTTTAAGGAGATTAGTTCCAGGAAAAGTTAAAAAAAATACATATAGTGACCCTGATACAAGGCATTAGATTGTATTCTGTGCCCAAACCACCTGTTTCAAAAGATACAAGCCACTCACAATCCAACATTTTTTTTTTTGAGGTCCAACATTTTGTATCTTCTCAGAATTATAAATAGAATTAGGAATTACTGTGTAACAAAAAAAAATGCTTTTAGATGTGAGAAATATTTGAAAATCTTTAGAAATATCTATATGCCTTAGAGTTTTAACCAATGGGAAGCTGAGTCTTTTCATTCACATGTAATATATAAGAAATGAAAATTACATTCCCTTTATAATATTGGATATAAATCAGTATTAAATCATTAACTGAGGATTATAATGCAATAAAAATGCAAAAGCAATAAAAAAACACATAGAAATTCCTAAATCTTAACACAAATTTTCTTAGACGTTTGACTTAATCTTTCTTTTCTTATAATAATATATTATATATTATCATACAATAATAACATACCACAAATTATATTATATATTGGAACAATTATATACTACACATTATAATATATAACAATGTAATTATTATTTAATCATTATATAGTATTATTATTATGTAATAATTCTTACTATTATTTTGGTGTTTTTGAGACAGGGTTTCTCTTCTGCATAGCCCTGGTTGTCCTGAAACTCACTCTACAGACCAGGATGGCCTGCTTCTTACTCCCTAGTGCTGGCATTAAAGGCGTATGCCACCAAGCCTGGCTGAGAATTGACCTATTCTCAACCTTTTAGAAAAATCGTTTATAAACTTCACAGATGTACAAATTAGTTTTTTCTCAGCCTTGCTAGTTATGACTCTTTTTATAACAACAACAACAAAAAAACCTAGTAAAACTCTTTGTAGCTATGCTGAAATGAAATTCAGTTAGTTTATCTTACTATCCATGTAAATAAGAAGAATATAATTATTCAGTCATAAAGAAGAAACTACATTTTGCAACGGAATAATTCTACTCCAAAGATGCTCATTCATGATGAATAGAGGACAAAAATGGTACCCACATTTCTATAAATTTCTCACAGCTTATAATTAGATGATGTTTTCTCTAGAATTTAATGCAGTGTTGTTATTGAAATCATGTTTTTCACTAGTCCTAAGAATCATGAATTTCAGATAATGTTTACAAAGAGCATATCATAATTTAGGAGGTTAGACTTGTAGTTCATAATATTGTACATACCAAAAAACTTTAATATAAGTTTCCTTAGATAAATGCATATTGTTTCAGATGTGCTTCCTGATGTAGCTGTTTTGTTTTTTTATATCTTATTTGGTAATAATAACAATGATGAGTCGCCTGTCAAATATCTTTGGAAAGCTCTTCTAAGTATCTCTAGATAATACCAAAACAAAGTGGGATGTCATCTCCTTTGCTTCTCCACTTTGTCGTTTTGAGACAGGATCTCTGACCTAACCTGCAGCTCAAGGAGACCAGCTGGCCAGCAAGCCCCAGGAACCTGCCTGTGTCTGTGACCCCCATCACTGGAATCATAAGCGTGTGGCACCATCACCCGGCATTTACATGGGTAATAAGGATTTAAACTCCGATGTTAATGTTTATATCCTAAGTCTTTGCCCTCTGAGTCCTCTCCCTGACTTCATAATTTAATCTTTCTTTAATGACTCTAACCATAGTTATACTGTTCATAAACAATATGATATTATAACAAAGTGGACACAGAGGTATATCTGTTAACTTTTATGAGGTTCGGTATATTCAGACTGCTTGATATAGTTTTCTGGGTCCACTCTCATACTGGGCTTAAAAGCAAGTGCTTTTTTCCTGCTTTTTGTGTTTATTCTAAAAATCTCTACTCTTAATTTCCTTTTTGTAGGCCTGGAGAATAGCCCATGAAATTTGAGAGTAATAGCAATAAAAGAAAAATAGACTATGATTGATAGATGGCATGGGAGTTTCTTGGAGAGATGTGGACGACCATGTGAAATAATACACTACTACTGAAGAACAAAAGTTTGGCGCTTACTGCTGGCTCAAGTGTTCATTAGCTATTTGACCTTGTCAAGTATTAATTTTCAGAATATTTGCTTTACCTCTGTAATGTAAATAAAAACCTTTCCATAGGAATATTGTGAGAAATAAATAGGATCATAGCACAGTCCCTGGAAAACCACCAACTTTCAGTAAACATTAGTTCCTTTCATATCCACTCCTTTCTCACTAGAGGGTGGAAATTCTCCAGTTGTTTTCAGACACCAGAGGCATATAATTTGTGGTAGTTCACAGATACATTCTTATCATTGTAGACATATGGTAATGTTCAAAAAGTTGAGATATCATTGTATCTTTCAAAATTATAGAAAACACTTCCTTATAAGTGTTATGAAATAGGACTGCTATGGTATAAAAACTCAGTATTCAATTAAGAAACATAAAGGATGGAGAAGAAAGAAAAATAAATAAAAAGTGAAATATGAGAACTGTGGTAGAGAGCCAATGAAAAGTTGGCTACTGAACAGTAGTATTCCTGGAGGGAAACCAGAATAAATGCAATGAGTACTTTATTCAAAGATATCAATAGTTTCTAAGGAAGGAAACATTCTTAGATTAAAAATGGGTATGAACTGTATTGGGCGAGGGAGAATACTTTTAGGCACAATGATCAAAAAGATACTATTGCCCTAAATGCGATGTCCCTATCAAATCCATCCCCTTAGGGCTCGGAACCCTGAAGAAGAGGAGGTGGAAAGAGTGTCCTTTGTGTTATACAGCATGGCTTCTGGTATAGTGTTGTTATGAGATGCCTGAGTGTGTCAATGAGTGGGTCTCTGCATCTACATGTTGCTTGTGCCTTTCTTGAGCTTTTTCTTGTGCTAGTTTTGTCCTATCTTGATGCATTAGTTTTAATTTTCTTATTATATTACATTGTACTATATTTTATTATTATCCCTTAGAAGCCTGATTATTTTCAAATGAGAGACAGAAAGTGGGTAGAACCAGATGGGAGAGTTGGAGAGGAATGGGAATAGAGGTAGGGGAAAACATAACCAAGATATATTATGTGAGGAAAAAACAAACAAAAGCTATTTTCAATAAAATGAAAAAAAAGAAAAGAAAAAAGTCTTAAAAAAATGACATCAAGTAAAATTACATAATGATATGTTTCTGTAGAGGCATAAAAAAGGACTTTAGAAGTGAGTCTCATTTTAGTGGCTAATTTCTCTTGCTTACAGTTTCTACTATGAGCAAGGCACGGATGACTTGGAGTCACAATGATATGGCATAGCTACTATCCTCAGGATCTCCAAGTGTAGCTAAGCAGTAATAGCTAGAGACAGGCAGTCAGTACATCCTAGATAGAGTAACCCAAATCCTATGAAACACACAAGGAACCACAACATCACCTAGGAGAGCATGCCAACAGATATAAAGACAGAGTGTGGCCAAACAGGCTGCAGAAAAGTGGTAAATGCTACAGAGGCACAGGCAGGAAAAAACTGAAAAGTGTCCAGAGAACTTGACCGGTACACCGGGAAGAGGAGGTGGTGGAGGGCAGGGAGGACCCTGGTAAGCTTAATTTTAGCAGATGGTGTAGAGGTAGACACAGTGATGGGTTCTACTTTCAAAAACAAAGCTTTGAAGCTGAGAAAAAAGGGCAGGTTTAAAATGAAGAGGTTTGATATGGCATTCCCCTCTGTATGCTGTGAATATGTTTTTATAACTATTGGTTAATAAAGAAGCTGCTTTCAGCCAATGGCTCAACAGAAGATAGCCAGGCTGGAAGAGGTATATATATATAGAGAGAGTAGGTAGAGTCAGGGAGAAGCCATATAGCCATCACTACAGGAGACAGATGCCGTATGGAACCTTACCCGTAGGCCACAACCACATAGCAAAACAGAGATTAATAGAAATGAATTAATTTAATATATAAGAGCTAGTCAATAAGAAACGTGAGCTAATAGGCCAAACAGTGCTATAATAACACAGTTTCTGTGTGATTATTTCAGGTCTGGGCAGCTGGGAAATGAACAAGCAGCCTCCGTCTACAGAGGTTTATGTTGAAGTTCTAAGGATGGCAATCGGATTGGGCTGTGATCCTATTGTAAAAAACTTCCTTTAGAATTCCTTAAAGAAGGTATATTCTTTCCTCTTCGGGTGGAATAATCTATAGATGTCTGTTAAGTCCATTTGCTTCATTACCTCCATTAATTCTCTAATTTCTCTGTTAGGTTTCTGTTTGATTGACCTGTCCATTGGTGAGAGAGGAGTGTTGAAGTCTCCTACTATTAGTGTGTGTGGTTTGATGGCTGCCTTGAGTTTTATTAATGTTTCTTTTACATACGTGGGTGCTTTTATATTAGGGGCATAGATATTCAGGATTGAGACTTCATCCTGATGAATTGTTCCTGTTATGAGTATAAAATGTCCCTCTCCATCTCTTCTGATTGATTTAAGTTTGAAGTCAACTTTGTTAGAAATTAGTATGGCCACACCTGCTTGTTTCTTAGGTCCATTTGCTTGATAAGCCTTTTCCCAGCCCTTTACTCTGAGTAGGTGCCTGTCTTTGTGGTTGAGGTGTGTTTCTTGTAGACAGCAAAATGTTGGATCCTGTTTTCGTATCCAATCCCTTAGCCTGTGCCTTTTTATAGGTGAGTTGAGCCCATTGACATTAAGTGATATTAATGACCAGTGGTTGTTAACTCCGGTCACTTTTTTAGTAGTAGGGTTTGTGTGTTTCCCTTCTTTGAGTTGCGCTGGTGAAAGGTCTCTAGATGACTGAGTTATTGTGGGCATTGTTGGACTCCTTGGTTAGTGATTTTCCTTCTATAATTTTCTGTAAGGCTGGATTTGTGGCTACGTATTGTTTAAATTTGTTTTTATCCTGGAAAATTTTGTTTTCTCCATTTATAGTGAACGAAAGCTTGGCTGGATATAGTAGTCTGGGCTTGCATCCATGATCTCTTAGTTTTTGCAGTACATCTATCCAGGACCTTCTGGCTTTCATGGTTTCCATAGAGAAGTCAGGTGTAAGTCTGATAGGTTTACCTTTATAAGTAACTTGGTCTTTTTCCTTTGCGGCTCTTAATATTCTTTCTTTATTCTGTATATTTTGTGTTTTGATTATTATATGGCGAGGGGATGTTTTTTTTTGATCCAGCCTATTTGGTGTTCTGTATGCTTCTTGAACCTTCATAGGTACCTCTTTCTTCAGGTTGGGAAAGTTTTCTTCTATAATTTTATTAAGTATATTTTCTGTACCGTTGAGCTGCACTTCTTCTCCTTCTTCTACTCCAATTATTCTTAGGTTTGGTCTCTTTATTGTGTCCCAAATTTCCTGAATGTTTTGTGATGAGAATTTGTTGGTTTTGCTGTTTTCTTTGATCAGTGTGTTTATTTTTTCTATGGTATCTTCAGTGTCTGATATTCTCTCTTCTATCTCTTGTAATCTGTTGTTAGTACTTGTCTCTGACATTCCTGTTCGTTTACCCACTGGACTGAGCTCCCAAAGTCCCAATGAGGAGCAGAAGGAGGGAGAACATGAGCAAAGAAGTCGGGACCACGAGGGGTGCACCCACCCACTGAGACAGTGGAGCTGATCTATTGAGAGCTCACCAAGACCAGCTGGACTGTGACTGAAAAAGCATGGGATAAAACTGGACTCTCCCACTCTCTGAACATGGCGAACAATGAGGGCTGATGAGACGCAAAGGACAATGGCACGGGGGTTTGATCCTACGTAATGTGATGGCTTTGTGGGAGCCCAGCCAGTTTGGATGTTCACCTTCCTAGATATGGACGGAGGTGGGAGGTCCTGGGTCTTACCACAGGGCAGAAAACCCTGACTGCTCTTTGGACTGGAGAGGGAGGGGGAAAGGAGTGGGGGGAGGGGGAGAAGGGTGGGAGGAGGGGGCGTAGGGTGGGAGGAGGGGGAGGGAAATGGGAGGCTGGGAGGAGGTGGAAACTTGTTTTCTTTGTTTTTTTTTCTCCTTTTCTCAATAAAAAAAGGAAAAAAAAAGTTTTTACTTGAGAAGAAACAGGAAATTATATTATCAGGAACAAAAATTAACAGACCTTTGAAAAACATAGGAGATATAATTCCTGAGGTTTTAATATGTAGCATGGTTGTTCCTCCCCTTTCTTTTTCCTTTTCTTTTTTCCAGGTGAGGAGTGAGCCACTCTGGTTCCTCTCTGCACCAGAGAAACTGTTGTAACCTGTGCAGACCCAGGATTCCTGCCATCTTAGGATTTCTGCCTCCTCCCCACAACCACTTCCCATTTCCCTCCCCCTCCCCCGACCAAGTCCCCCTCCCTCATCTGCTCTAAGAGCAATCAGGGTTCCCTGACCTGTGGGAAGCCCAAGGACCGCCCACTTCTATCCAGGTCTTGTAAGGGTGACATGTTTATTGCCAGTGAAAGATGAAAGCTGTGGAAGGTAGAGACCCGCGTCAGCACTTCTAGTGGGCACCCGCAAAATGAAGATTTGACAGACCGGAGGCCTAGCCCTTGAAATGAAATGCCAGATCAAATTTTACCCCAAAGGGGTCAGATGTACTGTCGTGGCCCTCAATTCGCAACACCAGCCAAATAAAGGAGCCCAGTTCTGCAGAATGCAGAAGAGAAGAGGACACTCAGAAGTTGTGTTCACAGGTCCTCCTGCAGCCGCACAGGGAGTGCAGGAATGAGAGGGTGTCCCGTGGAGGATGTGTAGGAGGATGCAAAATGCTGCTGCTGCCTCTGTGGGACTCTAAGTGTCGTTTTAAAAATCTATTAAACAGATCGAAATGTAAAAAAAAAAAGAATTCCTTAAAGAGTTTTTTACTAACAAAACTCTCTGAACTTCAATTAGTTACACATTCCCAAAGAGGAAATATAGGAGGGGTGAAAAGTGAAAGTCAAAAAAAAGGTTGAAGTAGTGGTAAGAACACAGGAACAACAGATCATTTGCCATATGTGTGTGTGTAAGGGCTGTGGAGTACTGAGGTCTGTGAATCTATGATGAACTAGCCTCCTACTGCTCACCAACAATGCACACAAACCCTTCTTTCCCCAGATTCTCTTCAATCCAACTGTAAATCCAAATGAGTTCTTCTGAGGCCAAGGAAGTAGAGCTTTCTTTCCGTAAGGAACAAGTCACCACAGTGGGTAGAAACTTCTTGGAAGCCAATTCTTCATGCTCAGAAACAGTTATAAACCACACAAGAATGACCACCCTGCATGTATATCTGATCCTACATTCCCTTAGCCAATTCCAAAAAAAATACTCACTTATAAACACATTTTTTAAAAAAAAGTTTGCCAAATTATTTTTAAAAGATATTTATCAGTATATGTGGGTTACCACCTAAATCTGTGGTTCTGAACAAAAAGGGCCATGAATTTGTGACCTTAACTTTATAGTTCATAAATAGAAATGGGAGCAAAAAAAAAGAATCAATGTAGTAAATCTCAGGCAAACAAACAACAAACACAATGAATGAAAACGAGACAGGCATGTTGAATGTTCTCCCCGGCTCCTCAAAGATTTAGATGCTTAAGTTACCACCACCACCACTCATAACAAGTTAGTGAGCTGGATGCAGAAGCAAAAACACATCTCTGTTATGATGTAAGCATGACATAGAAGCAGGAAGAGCAGGGGTCTAAACAAGCTTTGGCTAAGTAGAGAGTCTGAGGCCAGCCTGGGCAACATCATGAGACTGACTCAAAAAAAAAAAAAAAAAAAAAGGATAGTAATAGAATAACCATGTCAAACAGCCACAACCAAGATTGTTGTGATCTCAACTTTGGCCATGATCACAGATTCTGGAACAGCCATCAGCATTTTTCTGTTGATGGTGGCAAGAAGCCAACTATGAAGTCTGGACAAGTGAAAGGAGTCAGGTGATGAGCTGCATGTGCTATCTATTCCTGAAAGGATGCTTGGAGACAACACTTTAATGACTTAGCATGACTAGCTTTGAGCCACTGAACAGATGCACCAAGATGTGAAAACAACTGCCAGGAACGTGTAAAGAAGCTTGTGCTGAAGAGCAGCAGGAAAGTAAGAGAAGTCCTATATACTCCGTGGTATATAGGTCTATACCACAGATTAGATACAAACAGCACTTGGGGACTCTCTTAAATTAAAGGTTGTACCTATAGCATATCATATAGGAATAGGAATTGAAAGCCAGAGAGAAGCTCTCCTGCTTGAAGATGAACTGCATCACCATGGACTTTCCTAACACATCCCAGCTCTTCTCTACTTTTGCAGTTTTTCTTGAGAACCCATGGGGTATGCTTATCAAAAGGGATGTGCTTATCATGAGGCTAACAAAAACTACATGTTAAGAGAACACACATCCCGACAGAAAAAAATGGTAATTTAATGCATAATCTACCTTTCCTTTTCATGGAATTTAATTAAAGTGCACAGCATTTACTGATTAGGAAAGCCATTTGTGATAAGTTAGTATTTATGGAAAGAAATGATCCTAATCTCACAGACCCACAAGAAAGTACCCCAGCAGAGCAGAATGTGAGTCAACATACACTCCATGTGGGACCTGACTGAACACACTGGCTGTTTGTAGGGGTGTTTTTATTATGAGATTTAATTTTATTGATTATACACAAATTTTCTGTAATTGAAGAAAAATAAAAGATTGTTTCAGGCAGGTTGAGACAACTGATATTTATACCATCTGTCTTCAGATCTGTGCTCCATGTCATTTGCTCTGGAGTTCCATCTGAGTTAGTAAATTATCACAAAGCGTGACTCAGCAGCAGCGCCATGTAGGTGGCTCACGAGATGGACATGAATCTTGTGAGATTATTCATTAGTTGGAGTTTCTGGGCAACATCAAATTTTGTGTGTTTGTACACACATGCATTTTAAAAACACATACACTCAAATGTCTGTCTCTGAGTAGTGTTAGATTTACTTAGATAAGACATTGTTAAAAACTGACCCTTTTGTTGTTTTTAAAAAATTGGGAGGTGGGTGGAATGATAGTGCTTCTGAAGATTTTAATAGTTTATTTCTGTGAAGAATACCAAGAAAGTATGTCTTTGGTCACTGCTAAATGTGACATATACCATTTTATATTTCCTTGTTCTAAAGAGTCTTTTGTAAGAGGAGACTATATAATAAGAAACTATGGATCCCAAAACAGAAAACAGAACATTTTAAGAGGGAAAAAGTGGCAAAAAGAAATGAGTTGAAATGTTAATTTCTGATAAGGCCATGGCAAAATGATTTCACAACACACTAATGAAAACTAGTTTCTACAGAGATGGAACAGTTGGTGCACAGAAAAGTAGAGGATCAAAATATGAAACAATGTTAGCAAAACAGACTCTGGCAGCTGTTACCAAATTAGAAAGCTATCAAAAATGTATACTTCCATCAACAATGCAAAGAGAATAAGTGCCTGAATTAGTTAAAGTGAGCTGTAGGCGTGCTTGTGTGCATAAGTGTGTGCGAGTGTGTTTGTGTGTGTGTGTGTGTGTGTGTGTGTATACACATGTGTATATACAAGTATCTAGCCAGAGGAGAAAAGGGAACAATCTCCTTAGGGTATGAGGGGAAATTTACTTATTTAGTTTTATCCTGATGCTACCAGCAGGATTATAGGACTAATGTTTCTAGAAAACCCAAAGAATAAAACATTTCACTTATGTATACACATATAAACTCTGTTTTGAGCATAGACAGAGATACACTGTTAAATACCAATTGCGCTTCACTCCCAAGAGTATCTGGGCTATATAAACTGGAACAGCTGGAAAGAAAACTGAAATGTTGGGTGGGTAGAGAGGGAATGGTGGATATAGGAGGAGGTAGGGTGTCTGAATATGTTCAAAATACATGTTACGAAATCTGGAATAATAAAGATACAAAAAAAATGTCCATAACATTAGTGAAACCATTCATGTATTGGATTTTCGATTTTGACTACATTCATCAAAACTGTTAATAGGGCTGGAGAAATGCTCAGGCATAAGGACACAAGTTGAAGTCCCCAGTATCCACATAAAAGCCAGGCATGGGAGGAGGCTCATGCCTGTAACTCTAGTGCTAGTAGGGGGAGACAGGAGGATCCCAAGTGTTTGCCAGGTTAAGTGAGAAACCTATCTCAAATGTAAATAAAAAAATATGACTGAAGAGACAAACCAATGTCAACTTCTGGCCTTTGCACATGTCTGCATTGATAAGTATACTTGCACACACATACACATGAGAGCATGCACACACACATACACACAAGCATGTGCACAAGCATGTTTTTTAAAGTTAAAAAGCTATTAGAAAGAGAAATACATTTAAACCTTGGGAATTAAAAACAGTCCATAAATAAGTCTTGGATGGACAAAATAATCAAAACCAAATGACATACTTTTAAGAAATGAAGAATAATACAGTAAAGCATGTTTCGCAAAGTCCGGAAACTTTACTAGGAATGCACTCATTGGGAAGCAATGAAGACAGAAAAGTAAATGATTTAAACATTCATTCTAATAAA